TTAGATTTTAACTGATAGGATATGACAGTAAAAGATTGGGTATTGATTTCATGCTTCTTTAGCAATATTCCCAGATGTCCTGTTTCGGCAATTGTATGATATAACCTTGAGTATATTCTACCTCTGTTAGCATAGTATCCCTGGTTTGTCTGTATTCCAGAGACTTGGGCATATAAGGATTCAGCAAAAGCTGGATCTTTGGGCCTATAATGAGAATGTGAAGGCCCCAATCTCTAGCCAACTGCTTTTTTTTTTTTTTTTTTTTTGCGGTACGCGGGCCTTTCACTGTTGTGGCCTCTCCAGTTGCGGGGCACAGCCTCCGGACGTGCAGGCTCAGCGGTCATGGCTCACGGGCCCAGCCGCTCCGCGGCATGTGGGATCTTCCCGGACTGGGGCACGAACCCATGTCCCCTGCATCGGCAGGCGGACTCTCAACCACTGCGCCACCAGGGAAGCCCCCAACTGCTTTTTTAGTCTTTCTTATGAAATAATTTCTGGGAAGTTTGGGATTTCAAAGCCTACTATTAGCTAGAACCTAGATTATTTTAAACATGAAAGAAATTTCATTATAGACGTAACTTCTTGAGCACTAATTTATTATAGTGCTTTTCATCTCTGTATATGTTCATATTTATAAATTTGATACAGTACTGAATTGTGGTTAATGCATTTAAAAAATAACCGCTCAGCCAGTGAATACAGTTAGCACTGAAGAGAGCTGATTTAGCAGATGGTATGTTCCTGAGTTGGAGAGCCCTCACTAATCTATTTGTGTTTCTTTGCCACAGTCTCACTTTCTGTCATTATTTCCTGTTCTGCCGAATGATTTTGACCCGTAATAACTTATCACAAGTGTTAAAGCTAAAGTTACCATAAGAGTACTAAACAAAAATACTACTTTGGATGTTAAAATCGATACTTTACAGTGGTTCAAACCAGGGAAACTTTTAAAAACCTGATCAGCTGTTAATTAGAGATTGGTGGAAGACTTCTGACATCATGAAAGCTATCATAGGAATTACTGTAGCCTGAGAAGAAATGACTCACAACTATCTGAATGAACAAAGTTGGAAGAAACTTTGCCTGGAGGCATACCAGGATTTCAGGGAATATGAAGGGAAAAAATAACTGCAAAATAGCAACACCAGAAACTATGCTTTAGTGATATGATGACCTTAATGGCACTGATTCTATTAACGTTTCCATTTATAGAAATATGCTCTCCCTGCTAAATAGAGTATTCTTGAATGGGCTATCGCTGCAGGCTTGGAGAGTGTTACAAATTAGTAATAAATGACTCTTGGTCACACATGATAGAAATCCAACTTAAATTTAAGCAGAAAAGGAAATTTATTGGCTCACATAACTAAAAATCCAGAAGGAGCATTGGTTTTAGGCACAGCTGGATTCAGGTATTAAAATAATATCATCAGGACTCTCTCTGAAACAGTTCTATCTAGTTTTCTTCTGTGTTAGCATAGTTCTTAGGTGGGCTTTCCCAGTTGTTGAAGGTAACTTTTTGCAGTTCTAGGTTCATGCAATCCTTAAGGCCCATGCCCTTGCGTAGTGAGACCTTTATTCTCTAGCTTCCATAACACACTCAGACTGACAAGTGTAGTTCATATGTCCATGGAGTCAGGGAGGCAAAGGGATGAACAGCATCACCAAATTTTGGAAGGCAGTTCCCAAAAGAAAAAGAAGAATCCTATGCTGAGGAAGAGAAAGGGGTCCTGTGCAGGCAAAGGATAACAGAGGTCCAACTGTAATTACAGAAATGGAAGGAGGCTCATGTAAAAAGTACACAGGAAATATTATGGGTGAAATGATTTGATGCCTGTGATTTTATTTTAAAATATTCTGGGTGGAAAATGGAGGTAGATACAAGACACAAAATTAGCAAAATCGATCAGTGTTAAAGCTGGGTAATAAATACACAAGTATTCTCTATATTTTCTTCTTTACTTTGGTGAGTGCTTAGAATTTTGCTTAAATAAGTTAATGACAAAAAACAATGCAACAACAATAACAACAACAAAATAAATGCAGCTTCTATTGACTATGGTTGTTTGTAAGAAGTAAAAGTTAAGAGAGAAGCTGAGAGGGAAGATTATATCATTTGTCCAGAAGGGCAAGCCTCAGGATAGATCCTTTTTTTAGATTTATCTGTTTTAGGGACTAGAAATGTTATCAGTCAGGGTCTCCTCAGGGAAACAGAAACCACTCTGGGTGTTTCAAAGAGAAGAAATTTAATATATGAAATTGCTTCCAAAAGTTTAAGAAGGGCTGGAATAGCAAAAGGAAAAAAAAGGGGCCAGGGGAGCTAGAAGAACTTCAGTCATAGGGACTTCCCTGGTGGTCCAGTGGGTGAGACTCTACGCTCCCAATGCAGGGGGCCCAGGTTCGATCGCTGGTCAGGGAACTAGATCCCGCATGCGTGCTGCAACTAAGGGTCCACATGCCGCAACTAAGAAGTCTGCGTACCGCAACTAAGACCTGGGGCAGCCAAAATAAATTAAATAAATAAATATTTAAAAACAACAACAAAAAAGAATTCCAATCATAGATCAGAAGCTGCTGTGCCCCTGAGCTGGAGCTCTCAAGTCTGTGCTGGCTGCTGTGCAGTTGGAGTTGCTGTCACAGTCGTTCTGGATCTGCCGGAGAGGTACCACTTCTATCAGAGAGGGGAAGTCCAAAGGCTGGAAAGTCTACTGGAGTCCAGAATCACCTGCTCCTGCTGCCGCTACACCAACAGCCAGCAGCCACCAGAAATTGCTGCATTTTCACTGCCCAAAGCAGGAAACATTTTTCCTTTTACTGATCTCCTGTTGGCACCTCCTACTGATAAGACTCTAACAGGAAGCCAGCTGCAAGGATGGAAGCCTGGGAAATGTCATTTGCAGAATTCCAATTACATCAGTAGAGAGTAGAGTAGAGCATGGCGGGTGTTGAACTGAGAGACAACAGGTAAATGACCAATATAGTCCACCCTCTTTGGCTACATGGCATCCACATATACCACTCTTCCCATATTTAAAATTCTAAACAAGTTCACGAGTCTGCTTTCCAGTATGCAACTATCCTTCATACAAACAATGACACCATCATCGTTTCCCCAAAATGGGTGACGTTCATTCTTCTTTTAGGTCAGTCATGATCAAATTTAGTGGAAGCATGCAATGTTTCCCTGGTGGCAACATTCCTGTTTTGAGAGATAAGATCTTTGTAGGGACAGAAAGCAAGAATTCTGTAAGTGGGCTGTTAGAGGTAAAAGTGAAAGGAGGCACTGCCACTTTCACCCCTTGATTTCTAGAAGTGAGTATTCTAGTTATGGAAATAATAGCATCTATATTGGTCAGTGGCTAAAATTATGTACCACATCCATTTGGATAGCACCCCGATCTCTCAGGGTATCATCTCTCTTATGGGGCCATAATGGAATATTCAGTTGGTTATTCCACCATTTTATCAGGTAAGATGCTTCTGGGTGATGGAGTATACAGCAAGCTTCATGGTGGCTAGGGAAGGAGGCTGCCTGACATCCACAGAACAGGTCATCTTGTCTACCTTCTGAGAGCCTCCTCTGCAATGGGTACCCTTTATTAAGCATTCACGTGAGACACTAACGTCTCTTACCCTGTGGCCATTCCAAGAGGTATTTCCACCTGCCTCTTTGCCCCATGCCTTTTGCTCACCAGTTCTTCTGTCTGGTTCTTTCTAAATCCTTAACTCTTTGGCCAACTTGTTAGCCACTGTCCATGAATCAGGGTAAAATCTATACCTGTGTCTATCTCTCTCTCTGTGCAGAGTGGGCAACCAGATGCTCACTGGGGAGATTTTCCTTCCCAAAATCTTTCAGGGACACTTCTGATGGGATTTGTGATGTTTCAACTATCCACTTCCAGCTGATGCCGGCATATTGTGCAAAACCATCTCTAAATCGGCCTTAACTTTTTCTTCCTCAGTCAACTTGTTGTAGGGAGCTCACTTTGGAACCATATGTATGAGCTGAGGAAAGGCAGCAATTACACTTCATCTCCCAAAGCACTGCCTTCAATAGGACTTCATCCTAAGCAAACACAGGTGATAAGGTAGGTAGGTAATCATAGTGCTACTACATCTCCATTTTCCATTGGCAGTAAGGCCATCACTCTGTTCAAGCTTAGAGGGTCTATTTCCTGGAAACTTTTCTGTCACCAAGATTATATAGTCCTATCCAGAAAATGGGAGTCATTCTAGATATTCCAGACAGAGATAATATAATACACGAAATTATTTTCCATAACATGTTATGGAAAAACCCAAATGAACTTTTTGGCCAACCCAATACAAGGGTGTGGGAAGGCCTAGAAGAGCACAAATGAGGATGGGGTCTAGAGGAACAAAAAGAAAGAAGGAAATGATACTCAGAGGCGACAAGCTGCTAATCACAAGGGCTTAGAGTTCACCAGCCCTTAAAGCTGAGCCCACAAGCATATACTGCTTGCTGGACTTTTGGAGACACAGTGTTAGATCTGCTGAAGAGTTGCCACCTCGATGAGAATTGGAACCACCAAAAAGATTCTGCATCTGCCTGAGCTGCTGTCCAGAATCCTCCCATCCTGCTACTATTACAACAAACACCAGCGACTGTGAGAGCTAGAAGCTGGAAATTTCTCTCTTCCCCTGGTCTTCTGATATCCATTATGACCCATTTAGCGTATCCTACAGAAAGTTAACTGATGAAAGATCCTGGGTCATGAAGTTGCAGACTCTCAGCCCCAGACGCTACCCATCAGAACAGAGCAGAATACAAAAGGACAGTTGTTTGGCTTAAATAGGTAAGGAAGAGGTAAAAATTATCAGTACGGAAACCAAAATCCGTTTATGGGCTTAGTTATGAAAGCCCTGCTTCCTGACAAGAGCAAAAAACAAACTTATTCAGCCATAGGTGGGTAGGTTAAGGAAAAATGGCAACTTCTCCTGCCTGTCACTTGCTATAGTCTAGCAATGAAACAGTTTCACCAGTACAAATCCACTGAATATTTATTGAGTATCTACTATGGTTTAAGCTCAGCTTATGTTATGATACTTTAATCTTGTGATTTGAGTGAAAAGTATAAATCAGAGTAGATTAAAAATCAGCTATACATTTTTACATTTAACTACTGTAATTCTACCACATTTCCCCCATCCTCATCATTTTCACAAATAGTGATATTTTAGAGATCAACGGCATCTGTAATGAGCTCCCATGTCACTCCTTCTCTTAGATATCTGTACATTTTTTCAGTCTCTCTTCCTGTTGCAGAGAGGGTACCCTCTTCTCCCACCCTCACTAATCCTTTCTAATAGTAACCATTTTAATGTGTTCTCAATCCCTTCCTGCTTCATCTGGAAGTTTATTTCTTCAGTTATTTTTTTTTCCTAAAATATTCAGATTCTTCTTCAGTCTTAACCCCAGTTTCCTCCCTTATTCTCTTTCCCTTTACAGCAAAACTCTTTGAAAAGAGTTGTGTGTGCTTGTTTCTCTCATTCCATTCTCCCTTAAACCCACCCTAACACACACACACACACACACACACACACACACACACCACTGATAAATCCCAGTGGTCAACTCTTAGTCCTCATCTTACCAAAACTAACAGAGTTGATCGCCCCTTCTTCCCTGAAACACTTTCTTCACCTCCAGGATGTTTCTTCCTATCTTTCTGGCTTTCCTCTCAGGTATCTTTTCTTGGTCCTCTTCATCTCTCTGTTCTCTAAATGTTGGAGTGCCAAGGACTTGTCTCTGTTCTCTGTAGCCTCCTCCTTTGGTAATCACACCTAATCTCATGACTGTAAATACCGTCTATATGCTGACGATTCCGAATTTTATATCCCCAGCCTGGACCTATTTCCTTAATGCTACTCATATATCCAGCTGCCCACTCTTTATTTCTTATTAGATAAATAACAGGAGATGTTAAACTTAATATGTCCAAAGTTGAGCTCCAGATACCAGCCCCTACAACCTGTTTCTCTCCCAGTCTTTCCCATTTCAAGAAATGGCAAGTCCCTTCTGCCAGTACTCAGGCCATAAAGCTTGGAGTCATCCTTGATTGTTCTCTTTCTCCTCCCTGCCATATGTGTGTTACCTAGATGTGTGTGTGTGTGTGTGTGTGTGTGTATGAACTGCCTTTTCCCTTTTATTTATTGGAATCTTTTCATTAAGCCCCTGGAACTCACTCTCAATCCTATCTTGAAATTATATTTTCAAGAGTATATAGCACTAAGAATTCAGCTGCCAACTTGGGGTACTTCACTTTAGGGATGAGTTGTGTGACTGCCCTTTGACACAGTCCATTGCTGAAGTCATTCCCCACAGCGCTCAGCCTTTTCAGAGGTCCTCTGTTGTTTCTTCTGCTTGTCAAAGGCAGTGCTCAAGTCTCTGCAGTCAGGAAAAGAAATTTTCCACTTTACTTTCACTGTTAACATCCCCCCACTCCCTATCAACTCTCAGCAAGGAGCCTGTTTAAATTTGTACAAAGTGACTGCAGTTTGCAACTCTTAACAATACTGATGCTCACTTCAAACGTCTACAAATTGCCTGGAAAGCAAATTCTTATTGAAACTTAAACTGAAAAAGAAAATCTGTTTCCCCCCAAGGAATTAACTTTTTATTAAATCTTTTAAGAATAGAATTTGTGTTTATATAACACTTTTATGTCTGAAAAAGAACTGGCAATGACTTGGACATCAATTAATCTTTCCTCTGTGAAGCCAACTTTGATTCCTTTCCGGATTAAGAATGGATTTTAAACACAAGTTGCACTAATAGTTAGATGAAAGTTACCAAAGAATTCAGAATCTTCAGATATAACATAAATTGGGATTCTTTGGTTACAAGTTAAAAGGAAAGCCAACTCAAATTGGCTTAAGGAAAAGGACATTTATTGGCTCAAATAACTGAAAAGTCCAAGGATAGATACAGCCTAAGCCGTGACTGGGTCTAGGGCTGGGGTTAGCAAAAGGAGCCTGTGTCTGTTTTTGTAAATAAAGGTTGACTGGAACACAGCCATGCCCATTCCTTCTCATATTGTCTAGATGCTTTTGTGCTGTGACTTGAGCAATATAGTGGTGAAGTTGAGTAGTTGTGAGAGAGATCTATGGCCCACTACAATGTGTGGTTTTTTCCCCCAAACCAAGCAATTCTCCCAACACTAACTCAACTCAATTCTGGTACTATCTACCTGGAGATAGCATCAGATTCCATAGGTTAAGAGCTCAATCCCACAAGACTGCCTCCATTTCAGATGCCAATCACAAGTCAGGTTGTTACCTGTGCGTCTGACCAACTGGTTATAAAGGGTCCCAGGACCCCCTCCTTGATTAATTTGCTGGAGTGGCTTACAGAACTCAGGAAACCAGTTTACTTACTAGACTACTGGTTCATTACAAAGTGTATTAAAGGATATGAATCAACAGCTGGATGAAGAGATACATAGGGCAAGATGCTGAATCCAGGAGCTTCTGTCCCTGTGGAGTTTAGGGCTGGCAAGTGGATGAGTTCTCTTTCACCAACCTGGAAGCTCAGAACCCTGTCTTTTTTGGGGTTTTATGGAGGCTTCATTACATAGGCACAATTGATTAAATCATTGGCCATTGGTGATTGATTCAACCTCCAGCCTCTCTCTCCAGAGGTCATGAGGTGAGACTCTGAGTTCCAACCCTCTAATCTAATTAATCTAATCCACTGATTGGTTTCCCTGGCAACCTCCTCCAATCTTTAGGGGACTTCTGAAAGTCACCTTATTAACATAAACTCAGTTATGGTTGAAAGGGGCTTTTTATAATAACAAGATGTCCATTTCACCTTTATGGCTCTGATGCGATTTCAGGAACTGAGGACAAAAGACCAAATATTATAACAAAAGATGTTCCTATTGCTCTTACTGCTTAGGAAACTCCAAGGGTTTGGGGAGCTGTGAGCCAGGAACCACGGACAAACTCCAAAATATATATTTATTATAAATCACATTCTCACACCCACAAGCCCTAAAATATTTCCTATCTGACCCTTTATAGAAATGAATGACCGGGACTTCCCTGGCAGTCCAGTGGTTAAGACTCCACACTTCCAATGCAGGGGATGCAGGTTCTTCCTGGTCGGGGAACTAAGATCCCACATGCCGTGCTGCACAGCCCAAACACCTCTGGTCTAGGGAAAAATGATGTTGATAGGATCTGGCCTTTCTGTTTCTTTGCTCTGCTTTCCTCAGTGTTGGTCCTTTCTCATGTAGGCTCTCTCCTCATGGTGGCAGAAAATCTACTATAGCTCCAGGCTCACATCCTCATAAGAGTGGTCTTCTTTTCTGGTCGCTCCAATAAAAAATGCTAAGATTTGCTTTGATTGAACCTCTTTTTCTGGCCTTGTTTGACGTGTCCATCCCCAGACCAGTAACTGGCCATGGGAATGCAGTGCTCTGATTTGCCAGGTCTAGGTCACAAGTTGACCTCTGGAGTGATGAGTTGAGTCAGTATCTCCCAAACCATAAGAACCAAAGAAGTGAAGGGGTGATCCTCTTAAGAAAAGTTGAGGAGTTATTACCAGAAAAAGGTACTGAGTGAGTAGGGGGAGTAGTAGGAATAGAATAATGAATAAACAGAAGGGAAATTACATAACAGACTGGTAAACAAAAGCGTCCACTGAAACAATTAGAGTAACAGTTTTTAAATAGCTGCCGCTTCAGGACTTCCCTGGTGGTCCAGTGGCAAAGAATCTGCCTTACAATGCAGGGGACGGGGGTTCCATCCCTGGTCAGGGAACTAAGATCCCACACGCCACAAGGCAACTAAGCCCGCATGTCACAACTACTGAGCTCACGTGCCTCAATGAGAGAGCCCGCGTGCTGCAAACTACAGAGCCTACGCGCCCTGGAGCCTGCGCAACACAACTAGAGAGAGAAAACCCACACACAACAACTAGGGAGAAGCCCGTATGAGGCAACTAGAGAGAAGCCCAGGCATCATGACGAAGAGCCCGCATACCTCAACGAAGATCCCAAGTGCCGCAATGAAGACCCGACGCGGCCAAAAATAAATAATAAATAAATAAATAAATCTTTAAAAATTTTTATTTATTTATTTATTTATTTTTGGCCACATTGGGTCTTCGTTGCTGCGCACGGGCTTTCTCTAGTTGCGGCGAGTGGGGGCTACTCTTCGTTGTGGTGCACAGGCTTCTCACTGTGGTAGCTTCTCTTGTTGTGGAGCACGGGCTCTAGGCGTGCAGGCTTCAGTAGTTGTGGCACACAGGCTCAGTAGTTGTGGCGCATAGGCTTAGTTGCTCTGCAGCATGTGGGATCTTCCTGGACCAGGGATTGAACCCGTGTCCCCTCCATTGGCAGGTGGATTCTTAACAACTGCGCAACCAGGGAAGTCCCTAAATATTATTCTTAATGGTAACATTTTAGCAGCATTTCCATTCAGCTGACAAAGCCTGCTATCCCATTCACTATAGCAATAAAACCTATAAGCAACAGAAATAAATCTAACAAAAAACGTGCAAGATCTTAAAAGAAAATAAGGAAACATAACTGAAGAATATGAAAGAAGACCTGAGTGGCAAATTATACCATATTTATGGATGATAAGACTCAATATTATAAAGATGTGAGTTCTCCCATAATCTATAAATTCAATTCCAGAAAACAAATCCCTATAGGATTTTTTTTTTTTTTTTTTTTTTTTTGGCATTACGCGGGCCTCTGACTGTTGTGGCCTCTCCCGTTGCGGAGCGCAGGCTCCAGACGCGCAGGCCCAGCGGCCATGGCTCACGGGCCCAGCCGCTCCGCGGCACGCGGGATCCTCGCGGACCGGGGCACGAACCCGTGTCCCCTGCATCGGCAGGCGGACTCTCAACCACTGCGCCACCAGGGAAGCCCCCTAATATTAGTGTTTCTTTTTTTTTTTTTTTTTTTTTTTTTTTTTTTTTT